ATTCATTTAAATTTATGAAGGCGGTAAATAACAAACATCCCTCGATGCAGTGGTAGCAATGTGATCCACACGAAACACGAACAGCGAATATTGTTGCCTTCATCATTCTGTATGTTTTTAAGTTTTTGTTTTAGCATCACTGTATTTTTGTTTTGTTTTTGAATTGATCGTTATTCTGTGATATTTTGTATTGTTCCAGTTAGCTATATAAGTGCAAATATTTAATGCAATTAGATTAAGTTTGAATTTGACTTCCGATCAGGGTGCTGGTAATAAATAGTGAATTAGAAATGTATTCTTTTACTTCATTTGAATCAGTTGCCGATCTTCAAACTGCTGTCCAAAAATCTGAGCAACAAATTAAACACAACGTAGAACCATATCCTGGACATTCTACCTGGTTATTACAAAAGTAATCTTCTAGCTTTACTCTAAGCAGTTAATTGATATTATAGCCAAGCCCGAAAGTCGCTGGTTTCCCATTAGTTTTAATTCGTTTCAGTGTGGAGAAAGATCTTTCCACACTGGCTGTAGTGACTGGTAGTGTCAACAAAATCTTCAACAAAACATTGATTGTTGGAAAATACGTCGAGTCACATTTATCAAGCAGCCCAAATGCCTCAAAATTCTTGTTAATATTTATGGATGTCCGGCACCAGAGCTCGTATTCCACCTTTACCTGCAACCAGCCAGTGATGCAAAATATCATGACACTCACGTGACACTCGTCTTCGCATCAACCGACTATCGCTGACAGATCGTTTTGTCACGCTCTGAGAGTTAGAGCTATGGCAAACAACAATCACCAGTAATGGTCGCTGCTCACAAGCAAAACGTTACACTCGCTGCTGATCATGAAAAGCACAACGAAAACAGTGAAGAATTCTGCAGTACGATGATGAGAAAAAGCGAAGCGACAGAAGAAAATAAAACTACGCATTCCAAGTTCGGCAGGTGCGACAGTGTGAGTTACAAACAAAGCAGGCAACATGAAACGGAAGCTGTTGGGCTCACTCGCCAACACACTCAAATAAGCAAGCAAAGCAGCAACTGCTTCAAAACGAGCACAGATGAGTGTCGTGATTGTCGGGAATGACCAGATCGGTGATGGATCACAACAGAAGACGACATTCACCAGTTGCTTTTTACTTCTTTCGTCAACTTGATGGATGGTCAGCTTCGACGAGCACATTGATAGGAATGTACAAAGCGTTACTACCATCAACTGTTTGGCGATCGTGATTGTGATAGGTCGCAACTCTGGCAACCACGCTGGTGAAATCACAGAGATAACAGTTAAGTTTGTCAAGTTGGGATGACTCTCCAATATCTGTAAAACCAGGCAACAACATTTGGAACACCGGAAGGATGTCATCATTTTTTGTGAAACGTCCCATCATGTTTTGGATCAATCCATCGAGTCATGGAATGAAAACTGCTCTTCGATAGTATTCCTCTGGTGTTTCTACCGATTGATTTGCACGTATTGTTTGCTTGGATGCACATGGATGTAGTCGTAACTGCGCATTCTAAAACAGACATATGCAGCTTAGAGGTTGCATTAAAAATTTCAGCAAATTTTGCTTCAGCGTCTGCTCGTCTCTCCTTAAAAACCTGTATTATACTGTTCGCATGATTAAGAGCCGATATGAGGTCCACATATTTAGATTGTAATCCTATTGAAAGTGGTTGTGTTGAAAGATCACATTGATGTAATAAATATATAAGATGTTTGTATCCTTTTATAAACAGAAAATGCATACTTTGCCTGAAGAATAAACTTCTAATATTTAAATAAGTTTTTAGACCGGTCCTGCTTTATACTGTGCCAATATGGTCTAGATCTTGCACTACCAGGAAAAAAAGAACTTCAAAGGATTAAGAACAAAGTTCTGAAGATGATTTTGAAATTGCCTCCCTGGTATAATACTACCGAAGTACATAGAATTTCGAATGTTGAGACTTTAGAACAAATCTAGATAGAGCTGGAATTAGGGCGTAACAGCTTTTGTAAACAATGAATTCTCTCGTCGATTTCTAGCAACTCAAGGCACCCCTACACAAATCAACTTATCCATCGGGTAGGGGAAGTCTTCCCCTATTCGATGGTAATGTTGATTTTCCAGGAAGAGCCATGTCTTTCGAAAAATCATCGAGAGAAGCCATTGTTTACAAAAGCTGTTATGCCCTAATTCCAGCTCTATCTAGAAATGTCCAACAAAATAATTAAAAATTTTAGGGAAAAATCGTTGCAATCTTCAATTGCAACGATTAATTACCTTTATACATAGATAAGATATAGTTTTAGTTTTTAGTTTTGATGTGAATTGTTATACTGACATGCAAGTTTAGAAGACCTGTTTAAAATACTGAATTTCTAAGGCAAAATCACTTAGATTTATATCATAAAAATTACAGCAGATACGTTACTAGGTGGCTTGAGCACCTGGGTTAAAACGAAAAGTAATTTATTTTGAATTTTGAACAATTAAAGAGTTAAAATCTAAATACAATGTGTGACTATTTATTAAATCCAATGGTACATATGGAACGGTAAATAAATTAAGAAGTCATTTGTTGTAGAAACATTCTATTTTGTATGAAATCCTGCTTGAAAAAGAGGGGTACAGTGCGGATTGTGTTTAGAAGGCTACAAATTGGGTCTATACCCTAGTTCCTACGGAAGTGAAACGAGGCTGATCTTGCATAAAAAACTCGATGGTCCCATGATCTTTAACAGAATCGCTGCAAACATACATTGTTCATGCACACTATATAGGTACAGCCCGAGTCTCATTTTAGAGGGGGCTATAGGCCTGAAGCCTAGGCCATAAATTATTTTAATATAATATGAAAAATAAAAAAACCTTACCCAGGTAATGGATATCTATTACCTGTACAGTACAGGTAACAGATATCTATTATCTTTATTGTGTTCTGTTCAGACTGTTATGATTAGCTCAGACAGTCAACCTAATGAGCATGTAGGATAATGATCTTGCTTGGATGGAATTTTTTTCGATTGCTGCAGCCTGCAGTATCACTTTTATGATTGAATAATGATTCAAATATAAGCAGAAGCATTGCCTTGACAGCATAGAGTGGCTTTATTTAGGTCTTCTAGGTCTTCATTGTAAACCTAGTTAGCTCGAAAAATTAGGTTTTCAGTGAAATTTTAGTATTGTGATGTTGCTGCTATTGCAATTGGGATAGAATCAACTCACAGAATTTTGAAGGTGAATGCTCAAGTTATAATTTTGGTTTTATCATGGTTTTGAAGAGGTTTGTAAAGCTTAGCTTTAAGACCGTAGTAACATCGGAAATGCTGATTGGGTGTTCCCTTTTTTCCGATTCCCCTCCGGAATCCGGTCGCGAATTAGTGCATGGTTAAGCGTATTACTTGAATAATTTCCAATGCATTGAGTTTGGAAAAAGTCAGAAAAAAAACTTCTAAGGATGAGGAAATTGCCATGCTAAGAACCTCTTCTCGTACCATGGAGTAAATCAAGGTAAGAGACGGATCATGAACTTGCTGATATGTGGTTAAACAAACCTTTTTGAAGATTTATATCGAGATGGTTGCAGTTTCCTTCACACGAGGCTATATATCACAGTAAAATCCCGGCTACTGGCGCTTACCATTTTATAAATGAGTGAATTTAGAAAAATGTGGTGCCTTACAGTTTTTGGAAACTCGTGATTTCGGTCTCTTTTGTATTCTATTAAATAAACTCGACCACTCTTAATGATTTAGAGGTTCATGTGGTATTCCATGAAATTTTGTTCAGAAAGCACTAGTACATATCTGAGGAGCTCGTGTTGCCAAAAACGGATAAGCACTGTACCTGAATTTTTTTTTTAATTACTGGAAAATCAGGGAATATCGGGAAATTTAGTTTTCTTCATTGAGTCGACATCCGGATGACCAGGATCTCGATATATATCGCATAACTCACACTAGCTCTGTCTAGTAAGATAATTCTGAACTCATTTGATCACCGTCTAGACTTCGTCTGATACGTTTGGACCTGAGGACCATGATACGTTCGAACTTTCGGATAAAACTACCGAACGCTTTGACGATTCAACTGAGAGTGTTTATTATTAGGTTTTTAGGTTTGGAGTCCGCTAGTGTACATGTGTGTATGTTATATAAAGACAAGGAAAGTGCAGGCCTCGCAGCCTGGCTTAAGTCTGTGCTGTATTTACCGTGTGAATCGGTCATATTACGGATTCACAAGTCGAACTGTAATTCTGATGAATTGCTATGCTGGTACGACACGTTTCTGCTGATGTAGTAAATTCGTGTACTGTATCAAGATTTGGGGATGTCTACTACACGTCTATGTTAAAGAATATCGATCGAGACTTTAGAGAGCTCTATTATCCAAACCACTTCCGAAATTGTTTTCCACTCAATCCAGTTGTGAAAAAAATTTGACGTTTTGTTTGACAATCGATTATACCGATGTTCAACTCTGAACATTTGGCAACATTCGTCGATTTTATCAATACCGACCATTGCACGTCACGCCTCGTTGTAATATTGCTTGTTCATGCTTCCGCCCGACTTGGCTCCGTTCCTCGTAAACCACCGCAGCAGCAGGTTCCGTGATTCATTACAAATTCGTCTCACGGTGATTGATGATTGACAGATGGGTAACAAATTTACATCCCACCGGGCATTACAACATTTACTCTCCCTTTCGACTTGTTGTTTTTTTTGCGGAACAGTTCTCCGCCACAATGCAAACAGGGAATACATTGACTGGGGCATGGTGATTAGCGGAAATTAGTCGCACAAGTTGTAGTCGCGGTGGGAATCTATTATTGCTGTTGCATATTCTCGGAGGAGAACTCAATCAACGGATAATGATCTCGTGGGAATTTTGATGTTTCGAAAATCATGCGTCTGCTTGAACCAATCGCAATATCGTGGAGACGCATGGTCTTTCACGTTGAATAATTTCTAATGCTTCTTCATTTTCTTCCGTTTTCAGCTAATCTAAGTCACAGCACAACACCACTGTCGCCTTCGGATTTCAACAGCAGTGCCAGCGGCAGCTCTTCGGGATCACCGATCTACGGTGACAGTACTCTGATGTCCCCGCAGAAGCGAATCCATCGGCGTCAGCTGTAAAAGGGCGTCCATCCCGAAGGCGACGGCAACGACTGGAAGTAAGTTCAGGGAAAATTGATCGCTTCCTTCCGCGTGCGGGTAAGGTTTTGTACGATGAGAATGATGTGTGAGCGAGATACAGAAAGACTTGCTTGACGGATGTGTGGATGTGCGCTTGAGCTTCTGTTTTAGAGATAAATGAACAATATTAATATGTATTTCCTATTCTTATGATCGAAATAGTCGCAATCGAAAGGTATGAGTGAAAACAATGAATGAATTAACTGCATAGTTGTTAAGGTCGTAATCAGAATTAGAGGTTGGTTGGAGAATGTAGGATAAGTTTCTTCCAAGGTCACTACACAAGACACATCAGGGAAAAGAGAGAAGAGAAGTCGATTGATATTACCGAAAGAGCTAAAATAACATCCGGAAGCTGCCAAGCAGTACTTATCAGCTTTTCGCTGACGATTTTTAAGTCAAATCTACTGACGGTTGGGCTTATCTTTTGTAATGTTGATGGAAATTCCACATACTCATAAACTCGAAAATCGTAGGTATTTGACTGTAATCAATTTCCAGTGTTAAGTCCTTCTGAAAACTTAGTCTAGGTCTCTGAAACATTTTAAAAGAAGTCGATAGTTGCTCTATTCATTAATAATTTCTTTGATCTGGAAACAATCCATTGACAAATAAAATGTTAAAATTAAAACCGCATTGTTATTCCTAAGTACTTTAAGCAAGGATCTCCGGATAGCGACTAAGTTGGTAAGCCAGCAAAGCAAAGGGCCAACGTTCCAGTTTGCATTCAAATTAGTTTCATTTCATTACGCTTCGTCCTGGGCGGTGGGAACGGAAGCGCTGCGGCGTAGCTCCGTGTATGCAAATTATACACTCTTTACTTAATTCATTTTTTTCCCTCATCCTGCTGGAGGCCGCTGTGCACTGGAATCCCCCCCCCCCCCCCAACTCCGGGCATCGTTTTCCATTGTTTCCATCGCTCTTCAAATTCTTTTATGGCAGCTTGCCGGAAATGGCTCCAAGAAAGCTTTCCCTTGTTTTCCGGGTTTTGTTCCTAGCTGCTGCTGAGATGCAAGTTTTGGTTTTACGACCGCAAGCCAATTGGTCGGTCTGTCTCATCAATCTTTTATATTTTTCAGTTTGTTAGTTTCCATCTTGACGTTCGTCGGCTTTGTCAGTCAGAGGAAGGGCCCGGAATAAAATTGTAGGGCAGATTTAATGGAGATTACGCGCTCCGAAGGAGCAGAGATAAGTTTTCAGCAAATTGAGTTTTTCCTTCGTGTGTTTGTCTTAGTTAGTTTATTTTCCTAAAAACGAATGTGTTCTTATTTTCCTATTTAACTTTAGAATATGAAAATCTATCGCGTAAGGTAACAGAACGAACTGTTTGTAAATAAAAAAGAAACTAGATAAAACATGAACCGACTCATTCGCTATCGGAACAAGAAAAGAACTCCCGTCCCTCGCTCCCTTAGGATAGTGGACACATCCCACAGCAGCTGTCCTCCTGAGTTGGCTCGGGAACTCCTTGGAAGCACGCTCGGACGGCTTCCTCCACCGCTAGTTTCACGTTGATGTCGGCTTTGGCGGAGCACTCCACGAAGGAGTTGGCATTGATCTTGCGGCTGAGTTTTTCACCTTCGGCTGTGCTCACTTCGGTACTGATGTCCTTACGTAGGTCAAGTTTGGTGGCTGAAAGAAAAAGGATGCGCTTAGCGGAGTATATTGTGCCTTCTTTACGACCAAAAAAAAAAGTCCAGTTACCTATTAGAACGATGGGAACACTCTGTTCAGCAGTAATTTCCGGGACCCACTTGGCGGTGATATTTTCGTATGAGATCCGATTGTCGATGCTGTAGCAGAGTAGGAAGCAGTTAGCCTGGGAAACACAGACAGCTATATCAGAATTCAATAAACGTGGATAGCGGCACTATAAATATTAGACTTCGGGCCGATTTCTTCACCAGCGCTTAACTGTTAACCCTCTCCTTCCCATGGCAGCACATGTGATCCGTCCTGTGTTCGATCCGTCCAATGTTTGTCAATTTGCCATTAAATAGTCAGTACTTAGGTATTTACGCTTCTCCGTGTGTTTCGTTATTCACGTCCATATGTACACTTGAGAATTCAACTGAGGATTCAAGCTTAACCCACCCTAATAGACATAACAGAATGATATGATTGTTTAAATAAAATATATTGTTTGATTCAAATCCAAATAGGGGAAATGTCGGCTTCGGCAATACCTTTACCTATTATCGTCAGGGGGGTAAACAAAGTCCTAGATGATGATTGATGACGATGATTGAGATTACCACTCTGTAGCAAGGCGCCTGCACATAGCAATGGGCAATCCAATCTGGACGGTTTGATCAAGTCCCACTGACAAATCATATTCAGCTTGGCGCTGATGAAGGGCCATAAACGGAGGGGTGGACCCGTAAGCAGAAACACCCACACGAAACCCGCCGGGAACAGAGTAAGAATCTCCTTCCAGCAACCAAGACCATATAATTCGCAATGGAACAAGTCCTCGTCCTGAAGGATGCCCCATGAGTGTGGAGAAGAGCCCACCCTCTATGCACGAAATGTTAGCAACAGGAAGTTGGCAATCCCACTCTCCCTATCCAAATCGATTCAATCGGTTGCCCTGTTGGACCTTCCCTTCCCTTTTGTATATGTATTTAAATGTATATTTAAATTTATATGTTTTATATAATGATTAATCAATAACAGTCACCTGCCTTGATAGCAACATTTTAGAACGATCTTACCATGTATATATTTTTTTATTGAAACCATATTGTTCGTCATTTCTCATAAGTAGTGTGCAGCCCAAGTCTTTGTTTATTTTTTGTTTCAACTGGTATGAATTTCACATCTATTTGTTAATTTTACCTTTATCTCTACATATTTTTACTTGAATCTCGTGTTTATTGATCCTCTTGCATATCTTGGTTTCATTTCCTCTTTAATTTTCTTTTCCAATGTTTGTATTTATCTCTTTCACTCTCGTTTTCATCCGTTGATTCCCCGTCTGATATTTCGCTTGAACTATTTTTATAAATTGTTTCAGCTGCTTGTTTGAGTTTTTCTCTATCTTTAACTAACTCTTTCCAATCTCTCTCTGTTAATTATATCTATTTTTATCTTGCTCCAAAGAATCCTTCCAAGTTAAACTGGGTCTTCCTTTTTTCTTCTTTTTATTGAACTTTAATTGAAATGCTTTTTCCAAGAGGATGTTCCCTTTTCCTGCGCATAATGTGTCCGAAGTAGCTTAACCGCCCTATTCTTATTTTTCTGTTGATCGTTTTACAAAACTCTACCACAATTTGACTTGTTTTATAAGCGCCCGTTAGTTAATTTTCGGTTTAGAGTTGAAGTTAGTGTTACTCCTAAATATCTAATTTTTTCACTAACTTTGAATGCATTACCATTTAGAGTTATTTCAGTTAGCGATTTAGATTTATCGTTGGGAAACCTACTAAGGACTTGACATTTATCAAAATTTACTTCTAATCTAACAGTTTAAGTCCTGGAATTTCGTCAGCTAATTACGATAAAACACTTTGTATTAAATAATTAAATAATGATGGAGATAAAGGGCACCCCTGCTTAATTCCCGTTCCTCTTTTTGATAATTGTCCCTCCCACTTAATCCTTGTCATTTCATCTTTAACGCAAACTAAAATGTTGCACGTTGTCGTAGAAGCTGATATTTGTGCACTTAAAGTTTCGAAGTGGTACTGAAAATAAGGATGTCACAGCAATTCACCTTAACCGTATCAAAAGTTTTTTTTAATATCTAATGCAAAAATATATAGATCTTTACCCGCGTTCCAATACTCTTCCATAATTCTCCTGGTGATGTATAAATGATCATCAGTCGATCTATTACTTGTGAAAGCTGCCTGATGCAGTCCTGGTTCACAAGCAAAATTAATTAGCTTCTTCGTATAATGAGAGAGAGAAGGATTAGTATTTTCCATTTAATTCCACTACTTTATTTGCTTATCCTTGACAGATACGCGTATTTCGTCTACAATGTGCAGACTTCTTCAGTGTCTTGTACTAATACTCGACTAGTACAAGACACTGAAGAAGTCTGCACATTGTAGACGAAATACGCGTATCTGTCAAGGATAAGCAAATAAAGTAGTGGAATTAAATGGAAAATACTAATCCTTCTCTCTCTCATTATACAGGTATTCCACTAAGACGCCCACATTCATCAGGATAGCTTCTTCGTAATCCATCTAGCATAAATTTTGCAGCTACATTGCAGAATGAAATGATGATGATGATAGTGGTTTACCACCCATTGTAGCACGGAAACTAAGTCTGACAGCAGTGGGCTCTCTTCTCTGTTTGTCTTGATCAAGCTTAATAACCTCAACATGTCGCTGTATGTAGGGCCAAAAGCGGATTGGGAAGATGCGTATAGGCAAGGTCGCCTATACGCATCTTCGGAACAATAAAGAATCTCCTTCCAGCAACTTGATCAGCCAATTGGTCAAAAAAACAAGCCCCCAAACAGGAAGATGCCCCAATGAGTGGGGAGAAGAGCCCGCCCTTTATCCACGAAATGTTATCAACAGGGAGTTGGCATTCCCACTCTCCCCGTCTAAATCGCTTCAATCGGGTGCCCTGTTGGACCGTCCCTTCTCTTTTATATATCCGGAGTAATTTGAGATTTGGGCGTAATTGCTTTTGTAAACAAACATGTCAATCGCGAATTTCTCGCGAATTAAAGCTCAATCTCGTAAACAAACTATACCAAATGATAGAGAAATCATTCCTCTAAGTGATAGTGTTATTAGTTTTCGAGATTGTGCTTTTATTCACGATAAATCGGCGATTGACGTGTTTGTTTACAAATGCAATTACGCTTCTTCTTCTTCTTCCTCGCATTTCAAGCTTATTGTGAATGGCAACTTAGTGTTCTAGATGCACTTCCAAAGTTATTAATTGAGAGCTTTCGATGCCTGTACCATTTTTGCATTAGTATAATTGTGTGGCAAGTACAATCATACTCTATGCCCAGAGAAGTCGAGAAATTTTCCAACCCGAAAAATTCCTAGACCGAACTGGGAATCGAACCCAGCCACCTCCAGCATGGTTTTGCTTTGTAGCTGTGCCTTTACCGACTGAGCTAAGGGAAGGCCCAGGGAGGTGCAATTACGCCAAAATCTCAAATCACTCCGGATATGTATTTTAATGTATATACGAGTTGCTTGTTATGATTATTGTCAATAATACTTACATTTCGATGAAGATCGTGATACTTAACTTTATAAACCTCCGCGCTCTGCCTATGTTAACCCAAAATCCTATAACTGATTCAAAGATTATAATAAAGAGAGTGTAAAATAAATTGCCCATCTGCATTGTATCGTCCATTCAGAAATCATTAGACCCTACTGACCCACCTACTTGGCCAGACTTCAGCATCAACTACTGGTCAGTGCACTCTACACTTCAAGTTCCCTTTGTTTCAAATTGTGTGTGTGTGTGTGTGTGTGTATTCCCTCTAACCCCCACTGGCCGGCAGTGTTATTATGGAAGAAGTCTCTCTACAATGTCGCATTTATGGTCATTGTAGACAGCTTTAGTCCGGGAGTTAGAAGGTGATAGCTCTATTGCAGATCCAGCAACCCATTTCAGAATGTCTGGAGAGTCACGCCCATTCCGAGGTTACTTTCACTCACAATAAGCCCCGCATGTATGCATCACCGTTATCAAATGGATATTGGTGATACATACACACTTCCAGGTTCGAAAATATTCTTTTCAACCCTGGCATGTATTTAGTGTAATTTTGATATTTTTTTTTTTTTAATGAATGGAAAGCTCTCACCATATTCTGCTCTTCCGCCGTCGTTATTTGCTTCTTTTGGAATCCCTTGGACTTTTTCTCTAACGCTTCGTATTTCATTCCGTGCTTCACCGGCAATTTCCTTCCGTAGACCGTCCTTGGTTGGTTGGTTCTAATATGATTCCGCATTTTTTGGTCGGTTTGTATCCACCATATTTTATTGAATTGCCATGGTGATCTGGGACGAGGCTCACGTCCAAAGTCACTGGTCCATCAAGCGCTCCGTTTGCGAAAGGAGAATTAAAGAAATACGAAAGGGATCAGTTTCAAGAAGTGACAGTTTCATCAGATTCCCCAACTAACCATACTCAAGTAAAGTAAGAATATACAAGCTATATTACGACTATATGGTTACTTGGGTACTCATATGGCCGTCAGAATGGTTCATCGGTTGCGAAGTGAAGTATTTCTGAAAGTGATGCGTAATATTTCTCAATGTTTTGAATTTATCCTAACGTTACATCAATGTTATTTCACAGACAAGCATACACAATACATTGAAAATTTATAATTGTAAACCCTACCGCCATCTGTCGTATATACTTTAATGGGCAATACACTCAACAGATGGTTGTAGTGTATAAACGTCAAACGCTAGGGAATTGATTATGTGCACCACAAATGGCAGTACTACCAACTAAGAAACATTTAAATTGACCGTTAAAAACGATTTTTATGAATGTTTTAAGAGTGTTATGTCTGCTTTTCTGTGATCATACCTTCACTATCGCAACTTCGGGTAATCTGCGGAAGTACTTGCATTTTTCTCAGGCACTTTTGAGCTAACTGCAATTACTCTCTCATACTCGAAATGTGCCACGACCAAATTGGCACAACGACGCCCTATACGCTCTCTCACCGAAGCGCAGGGAAGTTCCCTTTGTTTCAAATTCATCTCAAATTCCTTACTTTACCCATTGAGTGTTGATTAATCACAATACAAATTGTGACCAAGGGCGGACTTGAGGTTACTAGACTATTAAATAATCTAGGTCCTTTTTAGG